GCTCCTGAATATCTCTCTCCATCAACCATTATGGTACCTAGGACCTCCTAGCGCTGCTCTCCTCCTGTGTCTGTTCAGGACGCTGCAGTTGGGGCTGGGGAGCAGAAGCAGCACCACCTTACACTTCCCTTGCACACTGCCTGTACGCACATTCAGCTCCCCTGAACTGGGCACAAACTGGGCTTCAGACAAGAATCTCTCTCTGAAAAGGAAAGTAACTGCGTGCACACACCTGCACCCCTCTTTAGTGGTACAGATGCACAGAGTCTGAGCAATGCTTGGACATCATGGATAATAATAAAGTGGGATCAGCGTTTACTTGCTCTTCATGACCTAACTTGTCTTGCAGTCGCTGCTACAATTTATAGGTCAACCAAACCATAAAAATAAATGTAAAACCAGTGCTTTTTTCCCCTCTCCCTTCACTTTTTCCCTTCAGTTAATAAGAGGCTCAGCATGCTCTGGAAGCTAGAATGAGCCTGAAGGAAAAACAAAAATGAGCTATCTCCATCAAGAGGGCTGAGGTACATGTGGCCAGTTTCTAAGACATGGAGCATCCCTGCTGACACAAAGGCATTCAGATTGACAAGAGGCACTGTCAGCTTCACAAGGGCCCCATGCACCCTATAATCTGCTGACCACCAATCCCTATGGCTTTGTCCCAGCACACACCAGGTCTACAGTTCATGGGCTCTAAGCAGCAGGCACTCCAGATCGGGCCCAAATTATGGTAACTACACATAGCATTAAACCCACTTTTGAAAACATACACAAAATCAAACAAATAACCCTTTTAATTTGTTCTTTTCAAAGCTATATTAACGGCAAGAAACTGGGAAGGCTGTTCTCCAACACATCCTCATTTTCCTCAACATTCAGGAATGTAACGTACGGAAAACTAACTAGGAAACATTGTTCTTGTCAACTTTTTCTATGTCTACTTCTATTCATCACCAGCAGGAATGAAGCAGAGGTAACTACAAACCCAGGAATTTACATTCTCTGGTCACTGTACTTTCATAGTCATCAGTTTCACCGAAATAATGAGTAAGCAGCACGATAAATACAGCCAACTATAAATAACACGTCAGCCTCTTCTTCGGTGAAAGTTATAGGAAAGCTGGAGTCTTGCTTTCCAGAGGCTGCCCACTAAAACTTAATTACACCCTCAAATTATAGCTTAAGAGCTGCCCCTAATACGAGTTCCACGTGCAAAGAAAACCTCAGAGCAGCCTTACACCGAGTACGATGGAGCTTTTAATGAGCACTGTCTGCCCCTTTGGGGGAAACAGGGAATAAAGCTTGAATTAACAGAACTCATCAATCTCTGACACAGCTGCACCACACCGTGCCCAGAGGCATCACTCAGCCTTGGTGCAGGACGCATCAGTGCCATCGCTGGGTTGCAGTGTGAGAGCAGAAACAACCACTCTCACACTGTTTCACAACAGAACTGCGCTTGGGTTGTGGCTCAGTCATGCACGCAGGCCAATGTAATGGTCTGGTGCCACAGAAAAGGGCTTTTCCTGCATCCACTCATGCCCACTTCCTTCCTTTGCTTCTTAAAGTCCCAAACTAACTCTGCAGAACAGAAGCAGGTACTTTGCAACCGAATTAACAAGCAGGATTGGCTTTGTGAAGCATCCAGACACCAGGACCAGCTGCAGGAAGGAAGCGGGACTGGGCTGGAGGGTAGGAATTAACACACAACGGGTGGGAGAAGAGGGCAGGGAGCTCTCAGCAGCACCAAGCCATTGGAGTTCTCCCAGCTCTGTGGTTGAGTCCCAGCCTCATTCAAGCAAGGCTGGCTCAACAACCCTATCCCAAAACTAGCTCCAAAGTGAAGAGACACATTAAAGGTATCTTTACAAAACTTACTGCCTTCTAAAGCTGGGCTCTCAAAGAAGTTCCTGCCCTTCCCTGAAATTCCTGGCTGCTCATTCCTCCTCTAATACTGCCCTCCCTGCTTTTGCAATGTTCCTATGATTGCTTGAGTAGTTCCGCCTAGGGACACTGGAACCATCAGTTAAAAATACCACTGGGGAAAAGAAAGTGGTGGGTACTGGTGCAGGGAAAAGGAGGGAAAGGAGGGTTTGGGTTTGAAGCACTTTGGTGACCACAAGGCAGCACTGCTGAGGGCACACAGCCCATGGTCAGAAATAAAGGCAAGGAGGCCTTCAGTGTGCTTTGCCTGTTCAGCAAGCATCTTGTGGGACCTCATGAATGGCACTGCAGAGGGTCCAAGCAAAAACAGGAAGAGAGATATATTACCCTTCTTTCCCCTCTCACACACACCTTTTTCACTCACAGGCTATCTTTAGAAAGCCCTTTTGATGTAATAATAAAGTAAAAAACCAAACCAAACCAAAAGAGTGCTTCTTCTGAGGAAGCAGTTTGTCTGTCTGCTTAGTGTGCTGAAGCAGCAGGGACTGACAGACTGTGAAGAGGGAGGAGAGGATCAATAGCTTGAAGTTGGGCAAGAAAGGACATCAGCAGCACCATGGCCAGCTTAGGCTCAGTTTGTGAATATTTGGATTTGCTCCTTTCATTAAATCTCATGTTCTGTTAGACATCCACTTCCTGGGCAGTGATGCGCAGTATCAGAAGGGAAGCATAAGGGGATGTACAGCATAGCACTGATGTTCTTGCTTTACAACACCCCTCACAAAACCAGACTTGGAAAAACCTGACCTGCAGACCCCTTCAGAAGCCGCAGAATGCCTAGGTTCACAGAAGCACAGAACCATCAGGGTTGGAAGGGGCCTTAAAGCTCACCCAGCTCCAACCCCTGCCACAGGCAGGGACCCCTTCCACTGGAGCAGCTTGCTCCAAGCCCCTGTGTCCAACCTGCCCTTGAAAGGCTGCTTGGAAGTTGCTGAACATGAAAGAGACTGCAGTATTAAGAGCTCATCAACACATGAAGCTGCTGGAAACTCAGTCTTTGTTCAATGCCCAAACTAGACAGCATTACTGCCCACAGGCAGAAACACTGATCAATAGATCAGAAGGTAGACTGATCAGTGCGTTTCTGGTGATACATTGCACCAGCTAGAAACAGAAACCTGAAATGCCTCTGAATGCAAGCTACTTAAACCCACTAACATTAACCAAACCAAGGGAAGAGGCTCTGCTCGTATGTCCAGTCTACAAGCCTGCTGTGTGGCTTGAAAACTTCTACCCTCAACCAGGACTTACTACTAGGGTGTAATTTGGGGAGCAGCTCTTTCAACAGTGGTGCTGGCTGAAGCAGCTTCCCTCCCATGTAGCTATTTTTAACCTAGACCAGTCTGCTACAGCTTGGCCCACTCCACGGCTACAGCCTAGCACTGCAAACACATCTGAAGGGGGAGGAGAGCACTTGCTTCAGCCTCAGTGCAGCTAAAAGCAATGCTTGTAAAGAAGGGGAATGTTTCCTGTCTGTTCCAATAGGAAGTGGAGTGCTTTGGTTTAAATACCTTCCACAGTGAAGTTCAACCACTCAACTTAAATAAAGTCATGAGAAAATGAACCACAGAGGTGGTGACTTCCAATTTGCTTCTGTTCTGATCTGCAGAGGCACATGTGAGCCTGCCCATCCAGTATATTCTTTTCATTAGTACAGTAACTGTGGGCATATGCTTACATCAACTTAAACCTGTCCTGGGCTTGAAATTCGGTCTGGTCCCTAAAAAACACATATGGATATAAGAAAGTTGGCAAATTTGATAACCAGAAGCACGTATTTTTGGTTGCTTGGTTGTTTTTTAAGCGGTCTGTGCCACAGACCACATCCCTGGAAGAAATAAAGGCCATCACCCCAAAATGGGAGATGAAACCATGAGCTATTGGAAAATCCAGTATGGAGCTGGAGTCTGGCAGCAGGGATTCAAAGTCCAGTAAGGCACTGACCACAGAACAGGCAGGGGTGAGCGAGTGTGCTTTCACACTTCCCAGTCTAAGGACTACTGGATTCCAAGCAGCACGTAATTCTTCTGTGGAATATCCCCAGTATATCTTGACTGGGACCACCAAAGACAACTTGTGCTTCACTCCAAAGCCCATTCACCACTTCTGCTTTACTCCCTAATGCTGTTTACTTCCTCGAACCCAAGGGAACATGAGCACATCTGTGAGGGGATTTGGATTGGTTTCAGTAATTTACTTCTAAGTCTGGTCCACAAGACTGAACACCCCCAATGAAAAAAGAAGCTGCTTTCAGAGCATTTTCCTTCGCCCAGGAAAGGGTGGGCTCTTGCCCATTTCTTCATGTGCAGCAGGGCCTGACACTGACTGCAGAGCACTAAACCTCTTACTTGAAAGCAAAAACTTGCATTAGCAACTGCCAGAATACAGTTGAATAGCACAGCAATCCAGCTGATGTTTTCTGTAGTACCCCCCACATTAAGCCAACAGACACAACTGTTAGTCCTGATTTTCACCAGTGGTGAGAACTGGTAGATGCTCTGGTAAAGAATGTATGTTCCCAAGCCAGCATTCAATCTCATGTCAAAAAGCCACCGGTATTCAAGAGATCCCAGCCAGAATTCAAGCAATAAAAATGAAAACAAAGCACTGAAAAGATCCCAGCCAGAATTCAAACAATAAAAGTGGAAATAAAGCGAGCACTGGGTTTTTGCTTTACATGTTCTTCAGTAACGTGACGCTTAAACCACAGATTTCAGATGTCAACACTTAAATACCAGCCTTTAAATGTATTATCAGTGATTCATCTAAATTCCAATAGGTTGAGAAGAAATTAGGACCATGGGCTTCCCAAAACCTTATGGCACAGAGGGTACTTGTAACTTCCTGCTTCACTCAATCCCCATCCCCACCAGGTTATTGTTAGGGGACATGAATAATATTCTCACTGATGATGGATCTGTTACCCTAGCAGCCCAGAACCCTTCAGATGTTTTATTCTGTATAATCTTAGATGCTGTACACAGAACTGCTTCAGGAACTCAAGGGAGTGAGCACAAAAGCACCCGCTACAGAAGGAGTTTAAGCAGAATACTCACTCTGTGCCGCTTTCAACCATTTGTGTCAGTAGGGAAATCCCATCGAGGTTTATGAATTCTTGGGCAAACGTCACATCCCGTGAGTAGTTGGCCAAGTCTTTCAGTGCTTCTAACTTCGCATCCATGCTAGAAGACTGGATCCTCTCATGGAGCTGTTGGGCATTTTGAGCCTGAGAGAGAAACAAGAAGAACAAGAAAAGCTTTTGTTACAATGGCAGTAATGAATAAGATGTTAGTGGGAGCAGGAACAATGGCCATGTTCAACATTAATGAGACTTAACACTTGCATGCTCAGAGATTATTAAGTAGCTCACATAAAAGTGACTTTCACAGCAGTCTACTCCTCGTGTAACTCTGTTATTACCTGCAGCTATCTGGATTGCTGCAGAATCTTTAGCTGAGCAATGGACAGATATCCCACTATATCAGGCAACAAGTAAGCAGTACAAAAGACAGCCTTTGCCTTGAAGAGCTTGTGTGTCACATCAATAAAACAGAAATGAAAACCAACCAAACTGCATCAGACAATCCCACTGTAATCATGGCAGCACTTTCATTTCCTTTTCAGTTTACACACTTCTCATGACCTTTAGCAACAGAGGCCGTATAATGTCCTAATGAGGTGTCCGGGGTTCAGCTGTAACAGTTGTCTTTCTCCTCCTTAGTAGCTGGTGCAGTGCCCTGTGTTGGCTTTAGTCTGAGAACAGTGCTGATAACACCAGTGTTTTTAGTTGCTGCTAAGTAATGGTTACTCCAGTCAAGGACTTCTCAGTCTCATGCTTTCAGTCTCAGTGAGGCCGGGCACGGGAAGCTGGGAGGAAGCAGCACACCTGACCCAAGCTAGCCAAAGGGGTATTCCATACCACAGCACGTCATGCCAGCACAGAAACTGGGGGGAGTCACCCAGAAGGCCCAGATCGCTGCTGGGGTCAGGCTGGGTATCGGTCAGCGCTTGCTGAGCAATTGTGCTGTGCATCACTTGGGTTTATTGTTCTTTTCCTTCTGCCATTCTTGTTTTACATTCTCTCCCCTTGTTATTTCCCTTATCATTATTATTATTGGTGGTAGCAGCAGTGGTTTGTGTTATACCTTAGTTACTGGACTGCTCTTATCTTAACCCATGGGAGTTACATTCTTTCCCTTCTCTCCATCCCATCCAGACAGGGAGAAAGAGGAGGTGAGCAAGTGGCTGCATGGTGCTGAGTTACTGACTGGACTTAAAGCATGATATGAGGTTATATCAGTAGAGACCAAATTCAGGCCTTCTGCTCCTCCCTCCCCCTCTTCCTTTTGTTCACACTCAATTCAAAACCTCACTCTTACAAGGATCAAAGGAATAATTACTTCCCACATAATACTATGATATTATCACTCATACAACTTGATGCTAGTTCAATATCCAGCTATATTAGGCTATTCTACCCGTTATTGTTTCCAATACAGTATGAGATAGTGAAATCCAAAATGAACACTGATGATAAAAAGCTAAAGGGATATTTCAAGAAACTATATTAAATTGTGTCTCTCTCTATCCATACAAATACTTGAAAAAACATCTCATGTTTTCAATCTGAAGCTTCCCCTCACCTGAACACAATACCCAAAGCCTCAGTTAACAGCTAGCTAGATGATCCTTTCCTTAGAAAAATAATCCTCCCCGCTATATTCCGATACTTGCAAAATTCTATTCCCTAAGGGTCACTTCTTGCCTGCACAGAATGAGAGGTGAATGAGAGATTATGTTTCATTAGGAAATCAAATTAATGGTAAAGTCTGCTGAGAGTTATTTTCGCTGAGATTATGCTTATTCTGTCTCAGCTGGAGAAGGAAAGCAGAAGAAAAGGCTGTGCTGACAGACAATTCCTTTTGTGGTCCAGTGATGAATACACTCTTCACGGAGACGCTCACCTCTGCAGACTGATTCTGAGACAGTAAACATTTAAACAGGAAACGCAGGAAAAAAGCCCACTGTGTTGTTACAGATACAGCTTCCTATCTGCACAACTCAGATTGCTTCCCAAACATCGCTAAATCCAACGGCCCAAACTCCTCCGAGATCAGCAAGGTTTCACAAAGAAAAATTAATGCATCATCTCCAGTTAGCTTTTGGCCAGAACCTACGTGGTGAGGAGTGCATACAGGGAGGAAGTATCCTCTAATTAGTATGACTGTAGTGTTATAACATCTGCAGTCAAGACAGCACTGAAGAGAAACAGGTCACCTTTAACCCTGAGTGTCCTGGGTTTAGCAGTGGCAGTCATTTTTCTCTTTCTTGGTAGCTGGTGCAGGGCTGTGTTTTGACTTTCAGCTGGGAACAGAGCTGAAAAACAATGATGTTTTGGTTTGGCTAAGGACTTTGTGGGCCTCATGCTCTGCCAGGGAGGAGGGGAAGCCGGGAGGAAACAGAGACAGGACACCTGACCCAAACTGACCAAAGAGGTATTCCATACCACAGCACGTCATGGCCAGGATGTAACAGGGAGTTACCCGGAAGGGCTAGTTGGACTGCAGGGTTGGAGGAGGTATCGGTCGGTGCTTGGTCGGGCTGGGGGGGGCAAGTTATCGGTCGCCTGGTGATGGGGTGTTGTATTCTCTTCCCTTGTTATTTCCTTTATCATTACTATTATTGGTGGCAGCAGTAGTGATTTGTGTTATACCTGAGTTACTAAACTGTTCTTATCTCAACCCGTGGGAGTTGCATTCTTTCTGATTCTCCTCTCTGTCCCTCCGAGAATAGGGGAGGGCAAGAAAGGGGGGGAGTGAGTGAGTGAAAGCTGTCTGGCATTGGTTAAACCATGACACTGAGCTTTTCTATGCCTTAAGTATTTGGTGGTGCAGCCACAGAAGTTATCTCTACAAAGGTAGAATCCTGCCATCCAAAAGGTCTTTCTGCCACTCTATCAATAGATTTAAGTTGCAATGGGGAAACTATGGCTTACAAAGTCTCTCTGCAATGGCAATGCCTGTCCAAACGGTACCAAAAGAGCATTCTGTCAAACTTCAGCAGCTGGGAGGCTGCATCATTTGCTAAAGCCTACGGAAGATGTAAAAATAGGTCCCACTGACTTGCAGGATAACCACAGAACACTGCCTCCAGCCCCTTCCCTTCACCAGGGTGATAGGGAGCAGTGACAGGAGCTTTGTGAAGTACTCCTGTATAATCACCTACGAAAAAGTAAATCAGAGTAACTGCTATTATCACCTGAACCAGAAGGCCAAGCCAACTCCTACTTCTCCAAACAACCTCCTTCCCAGAGCTGTTTCTACTCTAGACTCCTCGTTATAACAACCCGGGAAGACTCAGAGATGCAAAGCCTTCTCCAAACACGACTCCCTCTCAGAACACACGGAACGTGTGAATTCCTGCCCGCCTCGGAAAACAAACACCCTGGAAGAACATTCAGTACCACCATGGTACCTGCATGCCCTGACTTTGGAAATGGTGGCTCAAATTCAAACTTCAGCTCCTTAGATCTTAATGAGCCTTCTTTATGACTTCTTCCGGGAAGTTACCACCTCCACTATCTGCCTGCTGAAGGATGCTCTTCTTTTAGTGGGTCCTTAGAACGCTCCTGGGCTCAGTGAGAATGAGATGAACAAGACACCTAGTTCAGTGTGACTGAGCAGCAGTCCCAAGGCTGCTCACCAAGTAGGTCTGCAAGGGCAAAATGTGGGCAGTAGAGCTGTGGCCATACAGACGGGGACTGTAATTGCCTGCATAGCACAGTAGCAAGCAAGAAGGAACATGTAAATAGAGCCATAAGATCCTCCTCCAAACACCTTCACACCACAACTGCTGTGTAGCAATGCCTCATCTTCATACACATTAACAACCCATCATTAGTGGTCATGTTCACCCTTCTTATTGAGGAGAGATTCCTGCCCTCAGCACAAACACCTGGGGCTGCCGCATCCCAGTTAGACCCCCATTACACATGAATTAATACCAAGCACGGAAAGAGCTAACCCTGCCTCTAACCAAAACTGGGAACAGGGATGTGCAGTAACAGCTCCCTACACTGCACAGCAGCAGCATGAGGTGGACCAGCCTGTCCATCAACAGTTAATCCTCTTTCCTCTGAAGTCAGTGAAGGCTTTGAAATTCTCCACACTAAAACCAAAATATAATCTTCGATCAGAGACAGCTTGGTCCCCTCTGCAGAGCACAAAAACCTATGAAGCAACGTTCCGCCGATACAAAAGCGATTCAGCCCTGTTTTAAGCACATATAAGCGAGCTTACTAACATCACAGGCTTTCTCTAACTATGCCCCATCAGCAAAGTTTCTAATCAGCTATACTCTTCTTGCATTAAACAAGTTTGGCAAGACCCTGCATCCAACAAACCTTGCTCCTTCTACTATTGGAAGAGCAAAGAACTGGTTAACAGCACAACCGGTCTTGATTAAAGGGGTAAGCAAAGTACTTATCTCAGCAAGGTGGTGTCTCACTGGAAACGTGAGCACCAGTAACATTGGCTGTTGTCACCACAAGTGCCTGACGGGTGAAAACATTGCTTCAGTGAACACCACGCAGTCCTCAGAAGCCTCCTAGCTCTGTTGCCATAGCACTCATACGTGCTTATGGAATGCACAGCTCACTTATGGCTGAGTTAAAAAATGAAACCCAGATGAAATACGCCCTGAGTGCTTACCAGGGAGCTCTTGTAAGGATTTACAGCCCATCAGTGGAGGGGCAGCGAGCACAGCTCATTAGAGCAGCAGCAGAGCTCGCTGCTCTCCCCGAAACATCAGTCAGGTAAGAACAAATAAATATATGAGGCCTGCCCCCCTGAGAGCTGTTATGAGGGAATTAACAGAAACACGGCTGTTGGAGCAAATGAAAGATGGGTACAACCGCTCTCCTGCTCAGCAAGAGAGGACAGGAGGCTTGTACAATGTGTGCTGTTGAAGCCCCAGCATTGCAAAAGGCTGTCAAGAGGCGTAAGTCTTTAAACCAGGCACTCCAGAAAGGTTGCCCTTGGGGAGCAGCCACGCTTAAAAGGAGCAGCTTGATGAGGCTGTCAGCTTAAAAAGAAAACTAATAACCTAAACCCAAGATGTGACTGGCTCAAATAGGCATCTGGAGGCGAGGAACCCCAAGATCAGCCTAACAAGGGACTCGACTGATCAAATTATCATTTCTTTGCCACTGAATACTTTGTGCAAACT